CAATTATTGAAACTCAATTTTTTGAAGAAGTAAATTGTTCACGTAACAGCTGTCCTTGAAATGCTGGTAAAATCGTAAGAAAACTCCAGACCACGGCATCAGCGATTCACTAGATTCCATAATGACCATGAAGCCTATAAGAATCACCCGAATAATGGTATGTTGTGTAAAAAATAAATTCCAGCGCCTGGAGTAGCGTGGTTTGACCACTGGCCCATTCCCTCATCTGTCAGTTTAACGCAAACACGCTGTTACCTTTAAAAAGTGCAGACCACCTGAGCCCATTCCTAGTGGTATTTTCTCCACACAAACTGCTACTAACGTAAGCAACTGAACAGCCAGTTACTGTTATTACCAAAGTGATGTGCAATACATCTCTCTAAGTCATGAAACACGAAATCGACATTGAAGTACAGGCGTAAATCTTCCTCCGGTAAACACGTCAAATTTTGTCTATGGTGTTGTTTTCAGAGACGTCTTCCGAATATAAAATTGGAGAAGACCTTGCGAACTATAAGCCGTAAGAAGGCTACATTATCGGAAAACAGGCTATTCCGACCTTTCGAACGTCAGGCAATCCCTAGAAAGAGATAGATCGGGAAACCAAAGGGACTTTCTCACCTAGATAAATCCATCGCCCAGTCAATAACGTTTCAAGGGAACCCGAAAATACACGGAAATAAGGTGGAGTGGCCCTGTCCCGCCTGCTGTAAAACTGATTAATGCAAGAACCACCTCTTGTTGCAACTGTTCACAAGTAGGAACAAAGAGAAGGGGTGAGAGCACGATTACCGGTTTTAGTTTACTAGCCATCGGCAGCCCGCCAAACCCAACTCCAGACTTAGGAACCTTAGGATTCCAACGCGGGATCTTTAATCATTCACTCCAGGACTCTAGCCATGGAGCCACGGATCGTCATCCCGTAGGCTGAAATCAGGAATACTAATTATAGTACGTCCGAAATATTCACTGGTGTGAGAAAGCATCCATGGAGGTTAGGACGTGCAGCCGCATAAAGACCAATAATCAGCACAGAGCAGTTACAGAAAACGGCCAGTTCTCGCGAACGACCGTCATCAGCTAGCCATAAACAACTGCAGCTTCTGGTAGCCTACGACTGGAACCCATACTTGTCTATCACTTAACATTAATTTCGTCACAGTCACTGCGTAAATTACTTGTCACTATGTGACTGTCTTCGAGGGTTCAACGAAACGAACACATTCAAAAACCTGATTGTCTAATGTATTTTCCACGGGCATACATTTGCTGATGGGAAGCAATCTCATGTGAACAACTCCATTATATTTAGTCCTGTAACACCAGCGCGCCGCAGCGACGCCGTCGTCCGATTCCCCGGACCTGATTAATGGTCAGACATTTGCTGAGAGAACTTGGTCTCACGCAGGTCCGCATGTATTCACTGTTTACCTCGGCGAATTTAGGAAAAGATGGTCAATCAGTGCAGCTGGGGTCACACTGTTTTAAGCGCAGATAAGCAGGTGGAAAATAGGCGGGGGGAGTAACAAGTCATTTTCGGCAGGTTTAGGGAGAACAGATACGTGGAAGCGCCTTTAAGAAAATCGCCCGGGCCAGCAACAAACCAAAACCCTAAGCCTGAGATAACGGTTGTAATCGAGTTTGTACTACTAGTTAGCATAGTTTAAGATGACAAAATTCAACTAAAAAGTAG